CGGCACAAGGCGGAGGCAGCGGCTGGGCTGGGGGTAAATACGACACAGAAGAGGCCCTGGTGCGACGGAGGAGGAGCAGGCGTGTGACAGGAGCGAGATTCGGAGGCGCACGACAGATGTGCAGGCAGAGGCTGGACACGGATGGGACACAGTCGTGTCGTGAGACAGCCGGGGAACACGAGTGGAGCCGATGTGTGGAAAGAGATGGGACACATGCGTGGAGCAGGCGGGGCGGGCAGACAGCACGCGGACAGCAGAAGTCAGGACAGCAGCAGAGTGCAGTTGGGCTACAGCGTCACATACGGCGGGAGGGTGCAGGGTGAAGCCCAGCACACGAGCGTGCCAGCTGCCACCGAGTGCCGACGAGTGACGACGTGGATGTCACAGGCAGGCATTGACAAATCAGAAATGTTTGTGGATTGTGAAAACGTTGAGTAGTAGCCGTGTTCAGAAACAAATATTGCGAGAAATGCATCAACAATCTGACTTGTTCATGCTCCCAAAGGCCCCCGCCGCGAACAAATTGCGATACTTTAGCGAGGCGGTGGTCTCTCTCGCATCTAGTAATGCTCCTCATCAACAGCTTTCAACTGTGCCGTAAAATAATGCATGAGAATTCGCCTTTCAAGCGGTATCAGCCAGTTCTTTTTGCTCGCGAATAGCTTACCTGAATTAGAAAAGCACCTATGAGCACACAATAGTTTATGGCAGCGACTCATAAATATTAATATCCAATTTCCCAGAAAACAAACATCGTGCAATAAGCCTCTTGTGCAAACGTTTCAAAACTCCTAGAGAGAATGAATGTAAGGTAATGGCGCACCCAACATCGGTGCTTCTTCGAAAGTTGTTGCCAGCAGTCCACAGGCCAACGTCAAAACACTCACGACTGCATCGAGAGGCAATGAGAGGCACAGCAATCACAAATGCACAGCACGTTTCCAATCAACCAACCTTTGGCATTCGGCATTCTTCCGAGAGAAGCTTGAGAATGCAGCGAGGGGGCTTCTCTATCAACTCCAGGCATTCGGAGTTGTCGGAGAACTTGATGTGAGAAAACTTTATCTCCTCTTGTCGATACTGAAAGTGAAGACATGGATCAGCGGGAAGAGAGCAATTCTGACAAAGCCGACCGCCATGGCGGCCGCCCCAGCACTTTCAGACCCCAAAGCCCAAGCGATCTGGCCCTATTCGAACCCACGCATGCGTGAACTTAACAATTAAAATCCAGGGGGTTTTAATAGGGGTTATGTCACATTAAGTCCTGGGGACCAATACACCAGCATGATAATCTAAAGTAGCTGACGCAGGTGAATAGAACATAAAATGCGGTGGCAAGAGAATCACTAAATGACCATCAAATGACGTCATGAAATGCATCACTACCCGTGACAAATCACACGACAAAATCCATACCCAAATTGTCAATGGTGGCGGACAAGACATGCACAAAGATCTCCCGGGCTTTTCGCGTTTAATTTGCAATCCAGTTAGTTTGTGGACATTTTTGCAGTTATTAAAACATTTATCTCACGCATTCGCTACTTCACAGGATATTTGTGACACACGATATTCATATCCAGATGCATCGAGTCTCTTTATGAAAAAAACATTCTTATTTTAGTACAAGGTACGGCGCACAATTCATCGCAGTCAAAACTAGTTCCATTCACGCTTCAAAACAATGTTTTAGCCTCGTCAACGGTTGATAATCCGCCCCGCATGGTCAGCTGGCTGAGTTTGGGGGTCCGCTCGTCTGGCGCTACAAAGCGCAAAAAAACCAGCATGTCTCACCAATCAGACTGAGCAGAAATACAAACAAACCCCTGGCAAACACACCAACCCACACGCATGACAAAATGCGCGGGGTTGGCTTTACGGCAGCCGACAATTAAAATGTGATAAGGGAGCAGACGACGAAATGATTGATAGGGTTTGTCAGCCCTCATGAGACAAAGAGGACATCCAATATCCCTTCGTTTCCATTCATTATTTCGGAGACGGAAATTACGCCCGCACCTTCAAAATACGTTCCGTTCACACATGCAAAATCCAAAACAGTTTTATATTTTTACAGATGAACGTCTAATGTTGCTGCTGAACAAGGATATTTGTATGGTCTGCTGCGAAACCATTCCAACATGCCGTATCACATATCATCGCCAAATTGGTCGGCCGTTTCCTCCCAACGCAAACACCCCATGTAAACAAACCACCAAATTACAAACATTCCGCCCTGTGGCTTCCAAAGCATGAAACGCCACGATGCCGGGAGTAAGACATCCACCCAAGCAGCAATGCCTACGTTCTGACGAAACAAAGCAACGTCACCCACCGCCTCCTGCTCCAGCGCGAACACGTAGTGGTTGAAGAACGTGTGCAGCTTCTCGTTGGTGTAGTTAATACAGAGCTGCTCGAACGAGTTCTTGCCGAAGTTCTCGAAGCCGAAGATGTCCAGCACGCCCAAGAAGGCGCCACTGTCCTTGCCCGGGTTGGTGCAGGTGTTGATCTGGTTCACCAGCCAGGCGAACGCGCGCGAGTAGAGCGCCTTGGCCATGGCGTGACGGTTCTCATCAGCCTGACGGTGGCGAGGGTGGCGGTGACGGATGGCGTCCGGGTGTCCCGTACACATGGATGTGAGGGACGCCCGCGTCCGGCACGGAATAGTCAAGCGCGATAGATGAATGCGTTGCTGTTGACGAAATGCCAGGCCCGCTCGCTCTGGAGATGACTGCCTCAGGCCGATGCCAGTCACACGAGCAGACAGGCTGAAAACAGCGCTGCGATTTGGTAGGCGTCCCGCCTGAGGGCCATACATTGTCGGGATTGGGCCACAACGCCGTAAGGAAACGCCGCACGCCCCGTCTAAACCAGAATGCGCCTAGTATCTTGTCGACTTTGAGAGAATAGCTGAACGGCTGCTGCCTGTGCGACAGCACAAGCGTCATCGCTCCCCGCCGGTCACACACCAGGCCTGTGTTTTGCTAAGCTGTTTTCATCATTTCGCCCGAGGCAGTAAAAACGGTCGCGCTCATCCGCACGTGCGCCGAGCTCGTCGCATAAACTTGGGCCGTCAGACGCCCTTCCAGACGAATGTGGTTGTTTTGAGGCCGCATGAGGAATGGTTGCGCCGTCCTTATTTCGCTGGCTCGACGGCCGCGCCGTCGCTAATCCGTTTCCCAGCAAGGCCGCACGATCTATTACAAAGATTACGTGGCCAAAAGTGCGCCGCACTTTTGGCCACGTAATCTTTGTAATAGATCGTGCGGCCTTGCTGGGAAACGGATTAGCGACGGCGCGGCCGTCGAGCCAGCGAAATAAGGACGGCGCAACCATTCCTCATGCGGCCTCAAAACAACCACATTCGTCTGGAAGGGCGTCTGACGGCCCAAGTTTATGCGACGAGCTCGGCGCACGTGCGGATGAGCGCGACCGTTTTACTGCCTCGGGCGAAATGATGAAAACAGCTTAGCAAAACACAGGCCTGGTGTGTGACCGGCGGGGAGCGATGACGCTTGTGCTGTCGCACAGGCAGCAGCCGTTCAGCTATTCTCTCAAAGTCGACAAGATACTAGGCGCATTCTGGTTTAGACGGGGCGTGCGGCGTTTCCTTACGGCGTTGTGGCCCAATCCCGACAATGTATGGCCCTCAGGCGGGACGCCTACCAAATCGCAGCGCTGTTTTCAGCCTGTCTGCTCGTGTGACTGGCATCGGCCTGAGGCAGTCATCTCCAGAGCGAGCGGGCCTGGCATTTCGTCAACAGCAACGCATTCATCTATCGCGCTTGACTATTCCGTGCCGGACGCGGGCGTCCCTCACATCCATGTGTACGGGACACCCGGACGCCATCCGTCACCGCCACCCTCGCCACCGTCAGGCTGATGAGAACCGTCACGCCATGGCCAAGGCGCTCTACTCGCGCGCGTTCGCCTGGCTGGTGAACCAGATCAACACCTGCACCAACCCGGGCAAGGACAGTGGCGCCTTCTTGGGCGTGCTGGACATCTTCGGCTTCGAGAACTTCGGCAAGAACTCGTTCGAGCAGCTCTGTATTAACTACACCAACGAGAAGCTGCACACGTTCTTCAACCACTACGTGTTCGCGCTGGAGCAGGAGGCGGTGGGTGACGTTGCTTTGTTTCGTCAGAACGTAGGCATTGCTGCTTGGGTGGATGTCTTACTCCCGGCATCGTGGCGTTTCATGCTTTGGAAGCCACAGGGCGGAATGTTTGTAATTTGGTGGTTTGTTTACATGGGGTGTTTGCGTTGGGAGGAAACGGCCGACCAATTTGGCGATGATATGTGATACGGCATGTTGGAATGGTTTCGCAGCAGACCATACAAATATCCTTGTTCAGCAGCAACATTAGACGTTCATCTGTAAAAATATAAAACTGTTTTGGATTTTGCATGTGTGAACGGAACGTATTTTGAAGGTGCGGGCGTAATTTCCGTCTCCGAAATAATGAATGGAAACGAAGGGATATTGGATGTCCTCTTTGTCTCATGAGGGCTGACAAAC